AGCTAGCAGACCCTGAGACTGTCTGAAAAGTAAAACCTTCTGAAACACGATATTGTTCATTCCCAAAACCAAACAAACTTAATTCCTCCATGAACACCTGTGCCTTCATACAAAACAATTCCTGCAATAACTTTAGCACACAAAAATTGTAGGAGCAGCAACCCAGCTCCAGAAGCTGCTATTTTGACTCAGTGGAGAGTAGGTAGCACACTGGTAGTAACACTCAAAGTCTCCTCTTTCTTCTGCTGCAGAGGTTTGATTGTATAGACACTGTCAATGATTAAGTACCAGTGATTTCAAAGCTGCAGGGTCAGAGCCATTTCTACATCTCAAAATTAAACTGGACATCTAAACATCTTTCAAATACTGTTCTGCGAACGCCTGAAGTGTCCACCCCATGAAGACCATCTCCTAAAGGAAAAGACAGAAAACCTGGCTCGACTGAACTGACCACCTTGCCACAGGCAGCTCCTGCAGAAGCTGTCCTCAAGATGCTTCCCAACACTTCTGAAGCAAAATTTATTGTACTGTGTAGGGGGCAGCCCTCACCTTTGCATGAGTACAGGTCTCAGAGCAAAAGCCAGACTCTGCTTTTTTAGGCTAAAGCCACATATCGTTGCCTCTGCAAGCAGCTGAGCCTAATTTCACTTTATACCAAGCAGACCAAAAATACCATTTGAAAGGTGACAGGTCAGTGCATTAAGCAATTGCACCACTGGTGGGGTTAAGGTGGATAAATTATATAACACTAGAGTCTGACACTAAAATCCACCAGCTGGATCAAGGACATTTCTATCAATTCTGGCTCATTAGATGTAGGACAACAGGGTCAGCTATGTTAAATTTAATCACAGGGCTTCCTGGAGGGTATGGTAAACGTGCTGGCTAATTTTTCATACCATATTCTACATAATATATCACCCACAGCCTGAGAAGTAGCTTGCTTGTGTTTAAAGTATCTGCTCTACTTAAGACTAGCTAAGACAAATCTCTATTGTTTTTCAACCAGGATGAGCCAAATTAATCACAAGCATTTACCTCCTTCCTCCCCTGTTAAAACCAGAGGGGTTGTAGTTCATGTATGTTAGCACTCAGTTTGGCATCATCTTTTTAATGGAAAAATAAACTGAGCTGTCTATTCTAAATTTAATAAATAAGCAAACAAGATTTTTCTTTGCTGTAGGTACAGAGCCCATGTCCGGAATGGAGAAGGCTAATTAGTTTTAAACTCTCTGGGAAAAACAGTGTCTTTTTGTACTCTGTTTGTAAGGTCCCTAACACAGTGGGGGGCTGTTCTGTTACTACAACTTCCATGCCCTACAGTAACAAAAACAATAATACTGTGAGAGTTATTTAACATTGAGTCTTCTCGGGTGAACTCCATCTCGCCTCCGGAAGGTCCATTGTCCCTCACAGAACAGCGCCACGCATGAAGAATGGTACGAACAACTTTTACGCTACTGACACGGCTCTTCTGATGCACAGCATTTTACAATAATTAGCATAAAAACTAGTGTGGTAAAGCAACAATAGGTAGTACCCTCCCTTCCTTCTGCTGCCAATATTCTTGCTCAAAACAGGCTCCACATGGTTCCGCTGGAGGAACAAGATACTGCACGTGCTATGGTGCCAGACCAAAAGGAAAGAGACAACGGGCTGTGCTGGTTACGGGTGTCATGGGAAGCAGTCAGTAGGGGCCAAGTGGGAGGTGTGAGCTCCACATTTGAGAGGCTAATCATTGCTGTGAACTGTGTGGCAGATGAAAATTTGAGGACCCTTGGCTGCCAAAGGGAGGTTCTGGCACCCCACTTGGGAATAAAAAACCAAAAATAAGGAAAGGCCCTCAAAAAACCTGGGGCTTCTGGCTCCTGAACATTACTGTTGCATCTGAGTTTCATGAATAACCTGGTTCTAGGAAGCCTCCCTCACAATCTTCAGTGGCTTCCTTAAACCCAAAGGATAATTAATTTTCATCACCTTCAACCTCCTCCTCTTCCTTTTACAACAACGAAAAGTAAAACTAAGGGTAAATGAAAGGCTGCTAATTATCTGCTTTAGGCACATCCAGTCTGTTGAAAGGTCCATGTCATGAAGCACTCATGAAAAAGGTATTGCCTTGCCAATTCCATGTAACAAACTTGACCTAGAGATGACATAACTCCTCACTCCTCTCCAGGCTACTGATTCTATAAGTTTTATCAAAGGTACTCAAAACCAATGAATGATGAACATGTATTAAAGCAATCAACTGATCACACTGAATGCTTGTATTTCAGTCAGGATTTATTTGGACAATGTTAAGACAGAAGCTCAGTATTATTTAACTGAAGCAAGAAGAAAAAAGGACAAAATGCACCATAAACTAGAGAGAAAAGGAGTAGCAGCTGTAGAATAAGCCTACATAATACCTATAATTCATATGTACTTGTGAAAGGGGCAGATCCCTTAGTGCAGTGAAGCAGGTCTAAGCTAGGTTGTAGGTAATGCCTCTAAACTACTTATTCTCTTGGGAAGTGTTGTGAAGACTCTCTAGAAACTTCTGCAATGGCAGAAGATGCCAGGTGACACCACACTATGCCTAAGCCTCAGAAGCCTACAATTTAATGCTAAGTGGTGGCTTAGAAGCAAATTGCATGCAGGTTGCTTTATCTTCAGAGGGCTCACAGTAGTCTAGTTGGATATCATGACATTGGAGAAGTACCAGCTATTGAAAAGTCAAGCTCAGTTATCAGCAAAGGTATCTGAGATACTATAATTATTACCCCATAATTAATGGTACATCTTAGATACTCTGGCACAGTAACTACCAGTTAGGTAGTTTCTTATGAGTGACGATTTTTCAGTAGCAGCGGGTGAGATTTGAAGCCTGACTATGCACTGCTCTGCAATTTGCTGAATTATATACACCAGGTTAAAATGCTAACAGTATGATTTAGTAGAACTTGACATTTACTTCAGCCCTCCATTTCCCTACTGGCGTATAAAGAAAAACAGCTTGCTTTAAGGTCAGGTGATTATGCTTTTGTATCACTTTTTTACCCGAAAGTTCATAGCATCATAGAAGGATCTGGGTTGGAAAGGACCTTAAAGATCATCTAATTCCAAACCCCCTGCCATAAGCAGGGACACCTTCCCCTAGACCAGGGTGCTCCAAGACTGTCCAGCCTTACCTTGAACACTGCCAGGGATGGGGCAGCCACAGCTTCTCTGGGCACCCTGTGCCAGGGCCTCACCACCCTCACGATACAGAATTTCTTCCTAATGTCTCACCCACTCCCTTTCAGCTTAAAGCCGTTCTGTCTTGTCCTGTCACTACATGCCCTTGTAAAAAGTCCCTTTCCAGATTTCCTGTAGGTCCCTTTTAGGTACTGGAAGCTGCTCTAAGGTCTCCCTGGAGCCTTCTCGTCTCTAGGATGAACAACCCCATTCCCTGTTTCTTCACAGGAGAGGTGCTCCAGCCCTCTGATCATCTTTGTGGCCCTCCTCTGGATTTGCTCAAGTATGTTCACATCCTTCTTCTATGTGGAGCTCCAGAGCTGAACGCAGTACTCTGGGCTGTCATAAGAGTGGAGTAGAAGGGGAGAATCACCTCCCTTGACCTGCTGGACCTGCTCCTTTTGTTGCAGCCCAGGATATGGTTGGCTTTCTGGGCTGTGAGCACATGGGCTGGGCCATGTTGAGCTTCTCAACAACCAAAATTCTTGAAATATGTAAAATATCTGGGAGATAACCTGACCACAGGTAATAAGAAGACCTTCAGAAGATACACTTATTGATTCCCATTAGCCATAAGTGGGGAAGTCGCTTTCTGTTTGCAGTAGAGGAGGGGAAAAGGAACAGCATATTCAGCTAAAAGAACAGGGGATGGGTTAGGTAAGCAGGGCCAGGGAGTTTTCTGATACAAATCCCTACTGTATTACCAAACCCGGGGCAGCAGCACTGATTTACACCAGCAGATGAATATCAGACATGAATTAGTTAGAATTTTGCCCAGACCATCTGTTCCAAGATCTCGAAGCTTACAAGTTCCCTGGGGCTCTTCAATGACTAATAGTTTATTCATGGGTTTTATGACTACTCCAAAAGACAACACACCACGGGGTTTGTAGAATATGGATACTCCTAACCTCATGCTGAGATGTTGATTCATTACAGATTTGGCAGAGTATCTATTCATTTCACTGAATAACCAACAACTTTTCTTTAAGCACTCTAAGAACTTTAACATTTCCTAGGCCATCTACTGTCCAAATACCTATTTAAAAACTCTGATCAGTTTCTGAGTTCTGCAGATGAACACGACAAGTTTAATTCATCAACAAATACCATGCATAAACAACTCGGTTCCAAACTCTAAAGAATGGATTAAAAATCCGTACTTAGACCCACTGGGAGGTTGTTGAATAGATACCACAACTTTGTACTACTGAAGAAATTTTACTGTTCAGTATGCACTCCATGTCAAGTTCTAGGACAGATTTGAGCTGATACACAAAGGCTGAAATACACTTCCTTTCATACAAAAAGGATCATTATAGCTCTGGGGCATCATGTCTTCCACATGGCACAATCCTAATATCATGGTTTAGACTCTCAGAAATAACTATGACAAGGAAGGCAGATAATCAGTCTTTCTGTCCAGGATATCAGCATTAATTTGCAATTCTGAGGAATCAGTCTGAGTTACTAATGCATTATTTTACAGGTATTAAAAAATACCTTTAAAAAATTAATACATTTAAAAATACCTAAAAATACCTAAAAAAAAAAAACCTTTAAAAAATTAGAAAATACCTTTACAACCCACACCATTTATTTTAGGTTGAGGACCCTGAGCTCATAACTACACAAGGACTTGTTACGTTACTAATCCTGGTGACCCAGAGGAGTCATTGGACAACTGCAAACAGAGAGTAGGCATTGTAAGTGCTCTATCAGTGATTTGATTTGGTCAGTAACAAAACATCCCTGCGATTTGAAGGCTTGTTCATGACTCCTACCAAATGGATCAATGGTGTCAGTTCACTGCCTGGTAGACGTGTGTCCAGGTCAGCTTTTGACATCCTTACGGTGCATCTGGTGACTGAATTTCACTTCTGCATGAAAAGAATCTGCCTGTCTGCAGACATGACGCCCATTTGGTCTTTGGCAGCTGATACACAGTTCTCTCATGGGCCTTCATTTTCTCTCAGTTAACAGTCAAACATATAGTATAGACACTGTTAATGAATCAGAACCTAACAGTCTAACAAGATTTCTAATTCATTTTTTCCTTTAGTAAAGGATGGATGGTAAGCAACTCTATAATGGGAAGAATGCCCTTCTTCCCTTTACCACCCAGTTGTGGGATCTGACACTGACACGGGGACCGGGGTTTTATGTGCCTTCTGTGGAACCCTCTGAAAATGCACACATGGTTTTCATGGCAGCTTGAGAGAAAAAATAAGAAAAGGCCTGTGCCCAGCAGAAAAAACTGGTAAAGGCTGCGTTCAGAGACTTTCTTCAGGACACTGGGACAAGCTGCATTACTTGGAGACTGCCACAGCCAATCCAGATGTCACTGATGCAACACCTGACTTGGCAACATCTGGTAAACTTATCAGCAAGGAGGCTTATGGCTGAGCAAATATAAAGATAGTTCATTTTCACACACATGGAGTTTGGGGCATATCAGCAAGGTAGTAAGTCAGCACAACTCTCCTTAATGCTATGTCTGCTTTTATAATAACTTTTCAGGTCTATCATTCCACAGCTTTGTGTTTAGGTCATGCTGATCCTCTGGCCTGTAAAGGAAAGAGCCATGTCCTTTTACCTTACTAATGAATCCTCGCTGAATTTAATGGGGCAGAACCTTGCTGGTGTTTAAATCAACACAGCAAGAAGACTCTTTACTAAACACAGTGCTGTGCCATGTAGGGCAATGTGGATCAGTTGGGAGGAGGGAGGAGACAGACAGGGTAACCCCAAAAGCAGAGGAAAAAAAATAAATCATTTTGCAGAATCTTGACTGATACCTGTGCCTCTCCCTAATGTTTTCTTGGGTTTCTTTACACTTTTCAGGGAGAAAGAAAAGGAGATAGAAAGCACTCGCCCTTCCTTTCCTGTATGCAGAGAACTCTTCTTCTGGAAGGCCATTAGGATGGTACATGACAGTGTGACACCCCTGTGTTAATTTAAAACTCAGTTGGTGATCCCAAGGCAAACTTCAGGCCACTTCAAATAAAGTGTGTGCATGTGTATATGTACAGTGGAAAAAGTCAGGGGGTTCTGTTAACAGCATTTTGCTTGACAGAGCCTTCACATACTAAGTACTGTGGCCAGTCCCTATTGTGCTTTTCATTTCCTTGCTTTCTGTTTTCTTAGGAGAACTTTTATTTTTCTAGAATATTATTTTTCAGCTCTGATTTTCAAAGGCCTTCGCTATAAGGAGCTTTTTCTCTGCTAACACACTTGTGGGGGGCCTTTGGCTTTAATTTAACATTCCATCTGGGTTTCTGGGACATGGCTTTAAGTGTAGAATTCCCCCAGGAATAACAAATAATCCATTTTGTTCCCTTTAACATTTGTTGTATGCTGCCTTACTTTCAACCAAGCAGACACATTTAGTGACCATCACTGGCTACCTCTGTCAGCAACTCCTCCACTCCCCCATCTCCAAACACAGAAAGTACAAATAACAGACTTTGCTTCAGAGGTGGCAGTGGTGGGGGAGAGCGGTCAAGCCTGTTATTGCCAAAACACAAGACTTCAAGCCAGAGCTCAATGAAAACAAACATGCTGCTAGAAAAGAAGGTGAAAAGTGAATCAAAGTTCTGCTGCCTCAGGGAAAATAACCTCACCATTTGTTTCATCATCTAAGCTTCTCCTCAGGACAGCACTGAGGCAGGTAAGTTCATCCTTACTGACGGGAGCACTTAAGCATATGCTTAGAAGTGAGCAAACATGCAACTCACTAAAGGCATTTCTTTAAATTGGGCCTACACAGTGTGTGCTAAGACAAAACTTGTTTACATTTGTTTTACTGATCAGTCATTTTTTTCATTACCCATCTCAGTAGACAATGCCCTCTTCCACATTCATCCCTCCTATTTGTTCCTTATTCCGGTTACCTATGGAAAATTTATCTGCATGCGTGACTGCCCTCCTCCTTGCTGACCACACAAACACACCTCTGATGTCTAACGTGCCAATGCAGTTCTATTGTCTGGTTCTGAGTTTCCCTTCCTGTGCACCAAGAGTCACCCATGTGCAGTTGCTAAAGGGAAAGGCAGCGTAAAAACAATAGAAAATGGTGTAAACTAAATGTAAATACAAGCTCGAGCATCTCTTTACCACTTTCACCCTGTGCCACCATTTGCTGCACCACCACCACATTAAATGCACACACCTAACTATTTCTGCGAGATCAGCTCTCAGTCACTTTGCAGAGATGCAGGTGGCAAAGTAAGGCATAAGGCTGTGAAAAAAATAATAATCATGAAGCCTTGGTCTATTCCTGTTACCTGCTGCACATTAGTCTTCTTCAGCAGAACCACACTGATTTACAGCTGCGTGAGCAAGACACTGGCTAGAAGAGCAGCAGGTATGACTGGCAGAGAGTTACCCCTCTGCAGCTGGTGGTGCAGCCCCTTTTCTGCTGCAGAAGCAGAAACCTGTGCACAGAGAAGGGGACAATGCCCTTCATTCCCTGGAGCTTAGGTACAAATGTGAGGTAAGTGGGTCAGTGTGCAGCTGACGCCCAACACATGCCTCAAAAGCATTGCACGTTGTTTGCAGAGGGATGAATAGGGTCTGGGCAGCTTCACCTGTGGTTTTTTATATTTTGGTGTCTTTGGGCACATGTTCACACCCTCGTTACAAGTGATGTAACCCTGGCGAGTCCGATGGGGTTGCCTTTGTGTGGCATGGATGGCCTAAGGGTGAGGTAGGTCAAGGTGCCATTCCCCCACGTTTCCCCAGCTACATCTTCTTTTTCCAGCTGGAAATTCTGAGCTAAAGCAGCTGAGGTTCTTAGGCCATTTTTTCTGTGGTTTCTGGACAGCGGGCAATGCTTGCTAAGCATCTTAAGACACAGGGCTCTCTTGGCTTATGCATGTGTGCAGGTCAGATCACCTGTAGAGTGATCAGCCAGTGAACCCAGAGGTTCACCACCACTGTAGGAAGAGAAAAGGGTCTTGTATTTCTCTCCATGGAAGTCCAGAAAAAAAACGAATAGTTTGGATTGTGGTGTTAGAAGGGCCAATTTCTTCTACTTTCACATCATGCTGTATGCAAATCTATGGTTTAGATAAGATCAGCTGAGTTTATATTGGCTGTGTCAAAATCAGGCGCAAGCTTATGACATCCACGTGTGAGTGCCTGACCTGAAAACAATGGGGAAACCCAGAAACCTGCCTGCATCATCAAGCTTGTGTGCTAAACCAAAACCATCAGGTAGGGAAAACCGCTCTTGGGGGATGACCAGAGAAACGTGCCAACTCTGTTGTGCTGAAGCGCCTGTAACAAACATGATGTCATTGGATACAGCTGAAGAAATGGCTCAGTTTTCCTTAGACTCTGGCCTGTACCACCGAAAAAGCGTAAGGCTTTTGTTGACTGCAGGGTATATTGTGGGCCTGAAAAGCCTGCCTTCTAGAACAGCCTCCAAAAGAAGGAAACCTATAAATCCTCTGACTCCATTCCACTTCATGGAGCCCAAATGCCTTCCAGGAGCCGTTCAATGTGTTGTAACCAACCACTAAAATGAAGATGAGGACTTTTAAACAAAACACATCACTAATCACCACCCACTGACAGCATCAGCCTAAGTGCAGCTCATTTCTTTAAAACCTCACCAAAAAATACTTGCAGATCTGTAGCACCCATTCAAGGACAGCTGCTCAGAAGCTGTGGACAGGAAACCCATCCTTGGGCAGGACCTCCACATCCTCTCCTAAGGGCCAAATGCATGGACTTTGAACAACCAGGCAAAAGGCAGTGACCTTACTTGGTATGAGATACCAGGTGAGCTGGTCTTCTCTGGGGCTTAATTTTTTAATCAGGTTGTTTTTATTTCCTTGCTTTCCCCTTAAAGCCTTGCTGCTTTGCTCTCTGAGCTGGGAATCCATAAAGCTGTCTCATCACCACAGTCTTTTGGAAAGTAACTCTTTTGTGATGTAAAGCCTTCAGGCTTTTCCCTGAGAACCACATTTCTAGCAGATACCTTGGCAACAGACAGTGCCTTCATCTCATCCTTATAAGGCTTTAATCAGAATGATTTTTGAAAACATGGATTAAGTTCCATCTATGCCGTAAAGAAACCATTTTTCATTAAGCCATTTTCAACCAAACTGCATTCACTAAGGACACTAAATCATGCAAACAGAATATAAATCACTTCCAGGCTTTATAAATCATGTTGGTCACTCATTAAAAAAAAAAAAAAAGAAAAAAAAAAGGAAGATTAAAGTACGCATTTGAAAATGAGCTTAAAAAGGCATCTAAAAAACTGCATCCCCATTGCCCAGCGCAGCTTCATTTAACTGGGCTAAAGCCTATGTAAGGCTGCAGGCTTTCAAAACAGAAGTAAAAATTACTAGAAGTGGTCAGGAATATCAGGACTAAACTCTCCTTCTCCCTCCCCCACAACAGAAAGAAAGCAGTCATCTGTCAAAGCCGAAACTGATTGATGGCAAAGGTTTGTTTTCAACAAGTCTCCCAGCTTAAAAAACAAATCAGAAGAACCTCTGAATGATCAAGAATTGCTGTTTTGACATTTTTTAAAGTGAAAAGTTTTGTTTTCTAATTGAAGGAAACAAGCACAAACCCCATGCTCCTTTCGTACTAAAAAGAGGCAACTGCTTAGAGAGGTCACAAGCAAAATAAGCTCTTTGAACATTATTAAAGTCAAATATTTAGTTTGGCCCCATCTTGATTTTATTTTGGAGATTTTCATCCAAGTTTTAAAAGGACCTTTTATCCCTGGTGGGACATAGGAAAAATACTGGAATTCTTGAATACCCTGATAGGGTGAGGAGGTTCATTCCCATCCAGGTCCAGTAGCGCTTTCTCTCGCTTCAGTTCCACTGGAAGGGCACTCACTGTTCCTTGACTCACTTTAAGATGTGACATGAAGTTACTTGCAGGCTTTAATTCTCAAGAGCCCAGAGACACACAGGTAAGATCCCAACCACAGAAAGTCATATCCTCAGCTTGGGTCAACCAGAACAGCAGCTGGGCTGTTCTAGGTCTCAGACTTCATCTTAGACCTATTGTGTACTGGCACAAGCATCTGCTATGGTAATAAATCAGGCCATCTGTCTAAATGCAAACGGGACATATACTGGCTATAGTGCTACCTGTGGTGGCCACTGGCTAAGCTGGTATCGTTCTGTTTTTTTTTCTATTAATATACCTTCTGAGTCCATTTTAAAGAGAAACTAACAAGTCAGCCATTGATTTACCATGGGACCCGTTAGCAGCAGGCATTTAAATCTGCAGACCATTTACTTTAGCTGTATTATGGCCCTGCTGGTATCAATCACCATAACATCACAGTCATCAGCAGGGCTGCACCAATTTATATGATCTGAGGATCTGTCTTCTTACCTTTACAGAGGTATCTGCAGTAATTCAGCCTTGATTCTGAGAGGTTATTTGCAGCTGGACCCCTTGTAGAGCCCCACTGAAATAAAATTAGGTGAAGCAATTTCTAAGGCAATTTAAGGCCATTAAACATGACCAAAAAGTGATTAACGTTGTTTGTGTGATTTACTGCCCTGGCTGAGCACTGTTTGGTTGAAAATGACTTAGTCAAAAATGCTTTTACATACAGCAGGGAGAGGAATTAATCCGTGCTTTCAAAGACACTGATTTTAGCCAAATATGGAGGGTCAGATACACACACTCTGATCATTACCGGTGTAGGGGCCTGATGTCTTCTTCTAAGGAAGAAGCACAGGTCTCATTGCACGTCTAGCCCTGACCCCTCCACCTGTAAGTGGTGATGAAGAGTCAGGGCATTCCTAAGGAAAAAACCTCCCCTTCTGCAGTGAAGTTTCACATGTACAGGAGGCAGCTTGTGGCGCAGAAGCAGACCGACAGCGGATCATAAACTTCCCCCTTCTCTGCCCCTGTGGTCTCCCATCCTCAGCCTTTACAAAAGGAGCAATCTCACTTTGGAGCGTCTCCACATGAACAGCTCCTTGTTAAAAAAGCAAAGAAAGAGCCTTAGGTGTCAAAGGCAATAGTCACAATGCTCTTTAATGCAAGTTCTGGTTTCTGACCGTCACTGTTTCTTAAGTAAGTATGAGAGCGATGTGCAGAAGAACCCTTGGAAAGCTGCTTCCGATTGCTCAGGTTGTGCACCAAATTAAAAATCATCTGACTCCACAGTTCTCTGGCCTAGGTTTGTTTGCTCCCACTGCCAGATGAACTTAGTGGCACCTGCTCACCTTCTGATTCCGAAGTGAGCTGGCAACACCTGTTCTGATTTAATTTGATGAAGGTAAATCACTGCACGTCCCCTAGCACCAGGGATCCATTATCGGTAACTACATCATCTGCAGCGTACTAAACATTCGCTCTGAACACGCTTACAGGAAGATAAGCAAAATAGTAGGAAGCATCTCAGTCAGCAGTTGCCAATCTGAATTCTTCCCTCTCTAGGAGCACCTAGCTGTGTGGGCAGGAGGGAGGAAAAGTGAGTTTACCCTCAGGCTTTTGAAACCTGTAGATGAATGTAGATAAGGAATCTGCATTAATGGATGAGGACTTGTAGTCCCCCCCAAGAGGACATCTGCAGGAGGCAGAGGATATTTCGGGCTTCAAGAAAAGAAAAAAAGCTTAATGATTTTGGTTGTGAGAGAGAGCTGGCGTGGTTTATGAAGGTGGGACATCCAGCCAGAGCCGCATAAGTGGGAACAGGAGGTGACTCCTTTGGGTTGTGGGTGTTGTGGGGCACACAGCCATGCAGCTCACTGCTTTCGCATCAGTGGGTTGCAGGACCAGTGTGAACCCTGGCTGCTGCTGGGTTTCTTGTCAGGATCTGAGGAATTCAAAAAACATCATGAGGGAAACAAAACCCTCTTTTGGCAGTGTAGGAAAACAGGCCCAAAAGGTCCTCTGAAAGGAAATGCAGATTGTGTGTGGAAAGCAAAGGCTCAGCTTTAGAACAGTTTTCCTTTTTGAGTTTCCCAAAGCCTGCAACAATACACAGCCAGTGCATTAGCAAGCAGAGTGAGGCTTGCCTCCTCCTAAGTAAGCCTGTTTCCCAACAAGTTCCCAACAACTACTCAGAGCACTGCTGCTTTTTCCTCTTCCTCACATCTCCCAGCTCCAGGAATGGCCAAATCCCTTTCAGAGCCAAGTACATCGCAGTTCCCACTCTTCACTTGTTCGCCAGCAAACTCTGCCTCGGATTCTGCCTCAAACTCCATCCCCAAATCAGACAACAGGCCTAAAAAGTACAGAGCTGTGGCGTTTGCTCAGAGACCTGTTCCCCTGGGGAGCTCAGTGCAGCAGCCACAGGTATGCTGCACTGCTGGCCCTTAACACAGCCCCTAGACTTTCATTTCACTCCTGTTTCTACAGTCGTCTCAAAGATGCCCATCGGCATCAGGACAGAAGACAAGACAGTGCCGTTTTGCTTGCTGTTCACTGCTTCCCTCTTTTTCTCTTTTCTCTTTTTTCTTTTTTATTTTATTACAGCTCAGTTTTGCAAAGCTCAGCAGTGAAATTGCAACCAAACATAGTTCACGTAAGGGGAGAATTACCTCAGAGGCATTAAGAGAGAGCAAAAGCTTGCATCAGCTTTCGCACGGGCACAGCAGCTGACATATGGCACAATGCAACAAGCAACCAAACCCAGAGCTATTTGGCAGTGACCTACACATCTGCTGGAGTAAGAACCAAGGCCTTAGGGCACAGTTGAAACCAAGCTAGGCTGAATGAGAAAAAGCAACTTCCCCGTTCTTTCTTACAGTGCATCTATGTGCAGCACAGCTGATTGCAGCACATTAGGAATGGGGCCATACCTATTATAACATCTTACAGAAAATAACTCTAAAATTACATTGTAGGGCTCTCTACCTAATGATGGATTAAATTTACTTTGTGTTCAAGTGAAAAAGAGGCGGTTTTATTAATATTTCCCCCTAACTGGTAGTCTGAAGATTCATTCTTGGGTCCCCAAAAGTCAAACCCAAACACTTGTGTTCTACATTTCTAGCAAGAAATGTTGCTTCTACAAAACCTTCCCCCTAAGCAACACCAGACTGATGGAGAAGGTTTGGGAACTGGGGAGTAGAAAGGCAAATTTTAGTTTTAAAGGTATGAGGATTAGGATTTAGCAGTGGCCTGAAGGTGCAGAGTTAAAGAGAGGGGAAAATCAAGGTAATGCATCTGGGGAACATGGAACGAGGAATACGAATAAGGAACATGTTTTTTGCCACAATGATTTTAAGTGACTGGCAATGGCATCTGGAAAGGCAGACACTAGGGAGGCAGGCAGAGGTGAGAAAGTAATTTGAAATGCATTGCCATAGAGATCTGAGATGCACTGATGCAGGGATAACACGAAGTGGATGTGAGAGAAGAGCTGTTGCGATACCAGTGGAAAGCAAGAGGTAAGGACTGCCACAGGAGAAGAGGAGTGGAAAAGAGGGTAGGCATATGGTGGGAAAAGGCTGAAGGAAAAGATTTGAGAAGGAAAAAAGTACCTGCCGGTATTGAGAGTGATAAAGAAGTTCAAGGATGAAATAACCTAAGAGGCTGTCTTCAGAGCACGTTTGCATGAAGTGTTTTGTGCCTGGCTTGTGTCATCAGGAGACGTAATTCAGTCACACTCTTTCTGTCACAAAAGGGCTGAAACTGTAACATCTATTTTCCAATTATCACTTATGATTGAGCTACAAGCAACACTTCCCTCCCATGCTGAAAGAAGCTACAAACAGTACTAAGGGTGTTACTCCATTTTCCTCTAAAATTATAATTCTCTTTTGACTGGTTTGTGGTTTCTTCAGTGTCATTTTGGTTTTGGTTTTTTTTTCCCCTTTTTTTCTTTATTTGGAAGAAAAGTCTGCTGACTTGGGTGGCATGACTTGAGTGGGTTCTTGAAGGTCTTGCGCTATTTCCCTAAGACACCAAACCACTTCACACTGGGAAGCACATACAAAAGCAAAGCAGGATGAGGCAGTGGCTGAAAACTCCCCTGTGACAGGATAGTGATGACACAAGGGCAGGACACTGGCAGGAACTTCACAGGTTAAGTCCTAGAAGCACAATGAGGTAAGAGAAGTTGCTGCTTCCAATAGTGTGAAGACACTTGACAGATGCAGAAACTTCCAAAATTGGGAACAATGGGTTCCTGGAGGTGAACGATTCATAGCAGACAGAAAGAATTCAGGAAGAAGAGAATAATTTCCTTTGGGAGGTATTTCAGTGAAATTGGCCCAACTTCATAAAACCCAGGAAGCTATGGTTTTTCTTGCAACAAATCTCCGTCACACCAAATCAGTCAGACCTAAGACCAAGTAAAAAGTTAGAATGCTAGGAGAAACCTCCCTTGTTGGGCAGCCAACTCACTTCTAGTCCCCAAAGGACCGCAAAAAAGAAAGTATAACGGTGCTGAACTCAGCCAATACAACAGCATTCTGAGCTTTCAGTAATTTCTGGCTATAAACCCTGTTATTTGGAAGTCTGCAGGAAGAAAAAATCCAAAGAGCCTACCATCTGATGAAAAGAGAAAAGAAAGCCCAGATGACTATAAGTAAAGCCCACCAGTAACCACGTTAACCCTGACTCTGAAGTGTGAAACTTCACCGTCACTTCAGAACATCATGCAGAAAATCCCTAGAGGAATCCAAGGAAGAAGGGTATGCTCATCATCACCACCTCTTTGTCTCACACACACACATGCACACTAATACAGGTTTGTATACATAAACACTTCTGATTCCTAGGATCAGAACAGGTACGGAATGGTAGCAAACCCTTAATTCCTCAGCGCAGAAAGATGTCCATGTGTAATCCTGAGCTACTGCACCCTTCAGTGAAGTACTAGTCAGACAGTGAGACTTTACGAATAACATCTACAGCAGAGAACCTTAGGGAGCAGCCCATCACACAGCAGTGCAGAGCCACTGCTTTTCTCAGCAATACAGATCAGAGAGAACATTGTTTCTCTGACCTTCTCAGAGATGTATGAAGGTGAGCAACCATCAGTACCATTTTACAGAGATAGACATCCTCACAAATGTTGCCACGTAGGCAATCACTGATATATCTGGGCACAAGAGGCAAGTCTAATTCACTAGGTCATGTGTTTTTGTATACATCAGGCTTTCCCTTGTGAGTCTGTAAAACCAAGCTGCAGACCTACGCAACACCCCCCCAACGTTCTCAGTGATTGCAAGACGGGGGTATACATTCGCACTTAATTACGGTCTGTTTTCTTCAGTGATGCTGGGACTCTGGCAAAAGACTGTTGTGCTGGCCACCTTCTCCAAACCAAACACTTGAGAGACCCTGGGAAAACTGCAATGAAATTGCCTCACTGAAGGCTATGATATCCTATAATACGAAAACATAATTTCATAGTAATTACATATATTACGTAACACAAATCACTTCTCCGTCAGGTACAGAAAGCTATTCCTGTTATTAAGTGCAGCAGTTTGGTTCGATTTTTTACAACACAATGCTCTCCAGAATGAGCAAATTAGGTCTGGCTTTCTACAGGATACAATTATAGGCTTCAAGCAAAAGAGTCTGATGCAGGATTCAACAGTATGCCTTTGTAAATTATACTCTGGGGTTTGCATTTACTCTCGGTTTGATGGGGTGAGAGGTAAGAGGCAATTGCACTGAATGAGACTTGAAGGAAACATTCCAGTAAAAAAAAATATGATTCAAGAAAAAGTTCCATATGATTCAGAGAGCAGGTATGTGCAGAGTTGAACAGTGACATGACAAGCAAAAAGTGGGGGAGAATGAGGGAATAATCTAGCTATGTTTTGTGGCCTCCAGTTAGTACAGTACGATGCACTTCGGAGATGAGAGTGCATGTGTCTGTTCCCTAATGACTGTATTTGATTCTGCAGCTAATAGAAAAGAAACAGATGTAACCACCAAGAGGCTGGGCCACCACACCAGCTGACATGATTTGCAGTATTAATATATCTATATGGAGAAGTCTGCTCATTCAGCATAATCATCCTTGTCTTGATTAGTTCAGCCACTATCCAGGTTTTTCTCACCATTTTTGTTTCTTTTAATTGTGCTCACCCTTCCCTGCCCCATCCTGACCTGGCTATGTTTGAAGAACAAACACCTCTTTTGCATTTAGACTGTGAAGCCTAACAAGCATCTTCATTAAAAACCTAAGACATCAGTAAGGTATTGTTTCTCATATCGTCAGTGGTAATGGGGAACACAGACTGTATATTGCATTACTCAGTTTTCCATTTGGTTTCCCTACAGCAAGCAGGACTGGATAGGGAAGCAAGCAAAGCAATAAGCAGGAGTTTATTTATTTTTTTCCTTTCATAGTTGGATGGTCTTCAGACACCTGCTTCATGTACCTACTGATGTGTGTTCCCTCCAGCCTCCTAATACCTGGTAGTCTAGAAACGATACCCACATCATCCAAAGCGTCTATTTTATTCTCTAACCATAAATTATCGTTTCATCAGATGTGACCCTCGGTTAGATATGTCTCAACCTTTACACTGCACATCCCCAGCCTTTATCAATGCTACTCTAAAGGGCAAGCATATTCGATGTAATAGTCTTTTTACTTTTCCCTTCATTTTTCTATCTTTTGTGACTTAAGACAATCAATCTTTTATTTTTTTTTTGCCCATGTTTTACTTAAGAATTTCTATTTTTATTCTTGCTTCTGCCTGTGTCTCCTTTGTCTCTAACAACCTGTCAGCAGATAGCATTTTCTGTGTTGGCACAGCTCTTTCCCTTCTGATGGCAGACCAAAGGCATTAGCATAACAGCTCTGCCCTGGAGTCAGGGGAAGGGGGTTGTCGCCTCCAGGGTAGTGACTTGGAAACAGATAAACTGCTCTGAGGAACTGGGACTGCTGTTCTTGCACCAGCGCTTCAGGATGCCTCCCCAGATCCCAGCTACCTCATCCTAAAACCCACCCTCATGTCTGTGTGTCCATCACAGCTGGTTAGGATGGCACTGCAGGATGACAGGTTAGAATGACTTCTCCAGTATGGCAGTAACACCTCCCCCTCTGATACTTGCTTGCACACACATAAATGTAATTTCTCCCCCGACCACTCCTGTGAGCAAGGAACTGTGACTGCTGAGCACGACAAGTGGGATCCCAAAGCTACTTCCTAATTTAAAGCCCATCATGATAAAAGTGGCAGAGGCCAGCTGAGGTCCTTGTAGCTTGCTGGAAATACAAGCAAGCTCACCTCTACCCCCACCTCCCCACTCCTCACCAGCTATACCTGCCACACAGAGATACTCCCCAGCCTCTGAAGTGCTGAGTGGCTCTTCCCACGCTGGTCCCCTTCATTTTGCATCACAGGAAGAGCTAGCACAGCGCTGAACGATGGAGATATTTTTCTTTCAATGAAGACACTGCTTAGATGAAGAGTTGAGAAATATGATTTCTCCTCTTCCCTCTCTTGTTTGTACTTTCTCCCCCTAACAAAAAAAGGGTCATTTCTGCAGCCTCTGCAGTCAGTTGGGATTTTATTGTGGAGCTCATCAGTCACAATATGGCTTGTAAATACAAAATGCCAGCACGGATCTGTCAAGACTCTTCCTTGCTGCATGACACCTAGCTCTCTGTTCCCTCCCCACCAATGCCCTGCATATTCCATTCTCCCGTCTTTCCAGGCCAGCAAGTCAATCACTGCCGGTGCCCTGCCAAAGCACTTCTCCAGGTGTAGCTTCCCCCTGCACCAGCTTTGTCCAGTATCACCCTGCCTCCTGCAGAAGGGCACTGGGAGGGGGTCACACCACTCAGCACATGCTGGTGGAGGCAGGGAGGGGAAGCACATCATCCCAGAGGGCTCATCAGGATGTACCTCACCCTCTGGGTA